CAACTTAAACGGTTTTTATTTTCCCAGATGAACCATCATTTGGATCAAATAGCAATCATTTTATAGTATGTTAAATATGTTTCATGCACAAACTAAATAAGTCATGGCAAAACTACATTCTTAAATGTAAACTCATTTTTAAAAGTGAATTTAATAAATACATAACATACACCCTGCAACATGATTTAAAATATCAATCAAGGTGGTGTGAGGGGATTTCCACACTGAAGTTCTACTTAAGTACATTTTAGTTCGTGTAATAGCAATACTGATGCTTGCTTTAGCAACTCCACAAATAAAACTAAAGCATTCATGCTTAAAACCTTACATAAAAACATTTATTTTTACTAAATCGTTTCTAACACTAAACAATTTTTATGTGTGAGAAAAGAAAAATAATCCTGTCATGCATGTGTAAATGAGCTCTTAAGCCTTCAGCTATTATCCAAACACCGAAAGAAAAGCAAAACCCACAGTAGTCATTCTTAAGGATGTCATAATCTGCACTGCTGGAAGAGAAAGAGAATTCACACAAAAAACGCAGATTCTCTTCATCCTCTTGATAGCACCCTGCGGTTTTCTCTGCGTCTGGGTGCCAGACCAAACATTTAGCCCCAGTCTTTTTTCCAACCGTCTCATTTCATCAATAGATATTTGTGGAAAGAGCCAAACAACAAGAGCTCAGCTGTATTTGCAGGAAGAGCAACAGGATCTGGGACAGCTGATCTACAGAAGATGACTGAGTTTTGGCAGATGGCTATTAAAGATGATAAATCTCTGCTTCAGTGTTGGGATTTTTCAACCCTTTTTACACCCATAAGGCAAAAAAACAAAAAACACATCTTAATGCTTATAAATCTAACAACGCATCTATTGGACAAATGGTCAGATGTTTAATACTTAGGGATAAAAAGGGATGAGGGAGGAAAGAAAGGAGAATGTGTCACAGAAATAACTGAGATGAATTTTAGGACACAATATGTGGCATCAAGAGAGCACATGATCCAATAAAGCAGAGAACATACTTACGAGGCCGAAATTAAGACGAGGAAAAAAGGTTGAGTAGATGACAGATGGAGAAGACAAATGGAGTACACAGAGATACACGCTTATCTTGGAAAACAAGATTTTCTTTTGCTCTTTCGAAATGAAAAAGCTCAATCTGTTCTGATGCATCTCAACCGGTTTTGCTTCAGGGCACAAGAAGCATCACAATAGAGCAGCAAAACTGATTATTGTATAAAAGTAAAAAAATGTCCTAAATATAATTGAGTTGCAATGCTTTACTGATAACCATGAGATGCCCAAGCCCAACATTATGCGAAATACTAACATGAAAGAGGCTAAATAGGAAAGAGTTTATACTCATTTTGATGGTTTATGCTCAATACTGTCAATAATTAAGTCAAGAAATTCATACTTTCATTCAGCAAGGATGCATTAAATTGATTACTTAAAACTTCTATTTCAAATGAATGCTGTTTTTGAACTTTCTATTCATTAAAAAAAATCCTGAACAAATGTATCACGGTTTCCACAAAAATATGAAACTGTTTTGAACATTGATAATACTCAAGAAATTTTCTGGAGCAGCAAATCAGCATATTAGAATGATTTCTGAAGATCATGTGACACTGAAGACTGGAGTAATGATGCTGAAAATTCAGCTTTGATCACAGAAATAAATTACATTTTGAAATCTATTCAAATAGAAAACTTCAGTGACATTATAAGAGGACTTCAGGAACAAACAGTTTCTTGTGGTGGTCTAACAGATGTCTATGTGACTTAACTATTTTGCGGTCGTAGAACTCTCCGCTGCTGTACGTGGTGGCGAGGGTGGAGGAACAGACCTCCAGGTACCAGGGCTTGTTGCCGTTTTCAGTGCTGCTGCTGACGGAGATGGTGTAGATGCTGTTGGTGTAGCCGTCGCAGGAGCAGTGATCGCCCTGCCGGCCCCCGTTACCAGACGCCCAAACAAAGATGGAGCCGAGACCCTTACGGCCCTGCAGACATACATGAAGGAAATGTTGAGTTATGCAAATATGAATGGAAACATGCAATTGTCTATACAGTGTTAATTTAGTATTTTTTATTTACTATTAATATTTTGAATTAGCTTGTATTTTTCTATTTCCAGTTTTCATGTTTAAAATGTTTAAAATTATTCTTTTTTTCCAATTACTGAAAATAACAAAACAATAACAACACTGCCTCTAGCAGACAGATCACTTTTGCAAAATTATATATAAAAAAAAAAGACAAATAACTACTAAATATTCTGACAAAACTTGCAATTATTTTTACAAAATTAATTTTCTAAATATTTAAGCCACTAGATTTTGGAAAAATAGACATTAAAACATGGTTAGATTACATTTTAAAGCATTTTATGATGAATTTCATTCAAAAATAACAATATGATGATATTTACACTGTTACAGTGATAAAAAAAAATGACTCATATCATGATATAAGACTTAGGACCTAGACAAAATCATCATAACATACTAGTCCAGATCAGCTTAAGAAAGCATCTTTGAACTTCCCTTCAAATGTTATGGTTTCAATTTAGTCTTAAATTTAACAACCCTGACAATGAGTTACTCAATGAGAAATTCCCGTTTGTGTGCGAGTTTGAGACAGCAACCTTTTTAATTCCCAGTTCAAAGGCTTGTTTGGCCAGAGGCCCCGGCCCGTCCACGGTCTTCCCGTCATCATCGGGGCCCCAGCTGGCACTGTAAATGTCGATGTAGTCTGGCCTTATTCCCAGAGACTTGGCCTCCACCACATCAGTCACGTCTCCATCAAGCATTCTGACACCTTCGAGAAAAAGTTCATCAAAAAAAACGCACAAATACAGTCATTGTATAATCAACCCAATGTCGTTCCAAACCTGTATTATTTTCTTTTCTCTGTGAAACTCAAATTGAGATGCTAGGAATAATGTCCAAGCTTGCATGCCACATAAACAGATGGTGATTTACACTGTCAAGATACAAAATGCACCAGGAAAGTGTCATAAAAGTGGTCTCTTGGACTTGTGCACTATATTTGTCATTGAGCCATATGAAAGTTTTGTATGAGCTGAATTCCCGGATTGACTTCCTACAAAGATAAATGCTATTCAGGTTTTCAAAACATGCCATTCTGTGGGCAAAATGCAAGAACCATCGGTGTTTGGGATCAGTGACTAAAAGTGCCGTTTTTTTATGTGTGCAACGAAGCAAATGGAGATGGACACACAAAGCCACACAGAATCATATGCCATATGCTCGTTAATGCACACAAAAATTCCAATTAAAATCTATTGTACTCTGCTGCAATGAGATGTTTCCAAACGCCATGACAATCTGCTGTCTTTCTCCTCATTCCATTACTGAACTACAGCTTCATTCCCTCTTCTTGCTCTTCATTCTCTCTTCAGAGAATAGGTGGCACTAAAACTCGAGCAATGCAAGTCATTAAGCTGAAAATGTTATCCAAAGCCTGTTACAGTAAACTTTCTACTTATATTTGTAGGATTTACTCAGAAATTGCTAATACATTTCTCAAATAATTACAAAGAATGGTAAGTAACTATCTAAGCTCGTTTCCACCATGGGATAAAAAAATTAAAAAAGGGCAATTGTGACTTTTACTTTTACTTGCAATTCTAATCTGTTTTTATCTAACAATTCAGACTACTTTTCTTGCCATTCTAATAAAAAATCCAACAACTGCGAGATATAAATGAAGAATTGGGAGACGTTAACTGTGAGGTTATAACTAGCAATTTTGAGAAATAAACTCACAATTCTAAGAATTGTCAAATTACCTTTTTATATTTCTTATTTTGTGGCTGAAACAGAAATAAAAAAAGACATACAATTCTGAGGAAAAAAAATCAGAATTGCAAAATATAAACTCAGAGTTGCGAGAAAGAAAGTCAGAATTCTGAGTTTATTTCTCGCAATTCTGACTTTTTTTCTCGGGAATTGTGAGGAAAAAGTCGGAATTGAGAGATTCAAAGTTGCAATTACCTTTTTATTTTTTTATTTCGTGGCGGAAACTGGCTTCCATAAGTAACACATTGAATTAAATGTGAAATATTTAAGTAGAAAGCCTGAAATGTCTATGGTAACATTAAACCGTAAAATGACAGCAAAAATCATGATTTACAGATACAGGTTTTCACAAAAACTAAAAGTTTTATTAAATGATAAAATTTCACATTTCAGCCTTTAAACCATTTTTGAGAAAAGGGATCAAAATACATTACTTAAAACAATTTTTATCAAACTATTATTATATTCGTTTAATAACATATATCTTAGTGTCTTCATTGTTTAGATTTTTATAATGCATTAGCTTCTTTTCAATCCACCGGTTCACATTTACAACTGCATGTATGCTGCATAAAAATATGGGTTGATTTTCACACTGGTCTGAACAAAAATGTGGTTCCCTTTCATGGGAACTACGAACTGCGTCCTCTAGGGGTCACTATGGGGACGCCTTGTCGTGACCCGTGTCTGAAGCATACATTGAAAAAACACCAACTCGTTGGCCGGCGACAGCCATGACGTCACTGCCAGTGCGACTATAGTATAAATAGGCGCCGGGAGCACACATCATTCACTTCTTCGTCTTCATTGACTGTTCTGTTTGAAGCGTGCATTTCCAAGGAAAAAGTAAGAGTTATCTCTATTCATTATGGCGAGCACTAGCAGCGCATTTAGAAGGTGTGTGCATCCGTGTCATCGCTCTGAACTTTTTGGTACCTCCGTTGAGACGGTGGTCGAAAAGTTCAGTGAGGCGAAGGCGCGCTCAGCGGCCTTCAAAAATGCCCCTGTAAATCACTTCACCTCATGTTAGGAAGGCTAATTTTTTATCAGAATTTCTGATTATTGATCAGAAGGTTTGCCAGAAAAATAAAGAGTTTAACTCTTTAAAATAAAGAGTTTACTGTGGGAGTACTACACTCAACCAACACCAGGGAAGGCAGTTTTTGTCAGAGC